GTTTTTTTTGGGGGGGGGGGCAAAAGCATTGCCACCGATTTCAACTTGGTATTAAAGTTCTTACCTTTGCACCTGCTAAAAATCCTAGCGATATGGCAACTCTGGCACGAAGATCAGGCCGGTCTTTGGGCCAGACATACGAAAGCATTGCTTTGAGGATCCTTCCACCATCTATTTCTTTCAACTGTGGAGAGAAAATGTTGTAAATGGAAAGGATGATCTGACCAAATTTCCAAATAACATTGGTCCCAGAATCCCAATCCAAGAGATGTGAGATATTTTCAGCTAGCAACAGGTGGATGAGAAAGTTTTTCCTTCTTCAGATGTAAAATCAGCACCGATGGACACAAAGTAATATCACACTTAAGATTAAGAAAATTGTTCTAGGTGATTTAATTGCATGTAAAATGTCACTTCTTTTGAACTAAATGGCTATGAAGTTGAGCAATTGTGCATTATGAGGCTGCTAAACACTCAAGTACAGAACTACAGCTTCCTTCGTAAAAAGATTGCCCTGTCCTGTCCTGTATTATTAATTCTTTCTTTAGAGCTTACAGACACCTTTTTTGTCATTTTATGAGTCTTTCTAGTCAGTCCAATAAAGTAAAAATATAGGGATGATTTTATTCAAGCATAAAACCTCCTATTCCAAAGCTATTGCCACTCATTGTAAAACTGTTTATCATTTCAGATCCTCAATTGATGTTCTCACATTACAAAATTATAAATAGTATCTACAGCAGCAACCTGTAAAAAAAAATGCAGATATAACAAAAGCAGGATTGCAAACTTGATTTAAGGATCAAGCTGCCCCCTCCCCTCCATGCACACAGGGCTGGTGAAGAGGAATTCTAATTCAAAATTCCAGAAACTAACAAGGATTCTGAGTTCCAAAAGTTAGTTTTGGAACATTCAAGGTTTGGGTGAGCCAGGACTATAGGCAGAAATTAAATGCAAAATTAGGGTATGTGAAGCCAAGAGAAGCTTTGAGGAGGTGGAAGCAGGTGGGAACCCTTCATGCTTCAGTCCTGTTCCCTTAATCAATGTTAACAGCCAGCCAGCATTTGAGCCAGACTAGCTACAAGGGAACAATCAAACATAGGAAGTCCAGATGTATCTTTGGACAGTATTATGTAGAAGTCTCTAACCCTTTTGGGCCAGAAAGCTCATCTGGAATTTTAAGAACATGTTATGGGACACTCTATAAAGTGGTTGCCATGGTGGACATAGCCAATCACAAACCACACATTTAGCAGAAGGCAAGCAAACACTGGTCTATAGCCACCAACCATTTTATTTTCCAAGAACCCCTTAGGAGTCTATGTGGGCCCCAGAGGCATTGTTGGAAATAGTTAGCAGTGTGCTCGATTCCCATTCATTTTTCTTCAAATAAAAGATTCTAAAAAGTTTAAATTAAGCAGGGCAGGGAGCTTGGAAGGTATCAAGAAACATGTCAACAGGTGCACGGCAGCTCCTGGGGACTACGTGTGGGGTATAATGCCTGCACCAACTCTAACCCTAGCTAAAATTATCATTAGAAAGCTTCTAGACTACAGATTAAAAGCAACAATGTCACCAAGATGCAGTACCAGCTATTACTATTTCTGGAAAGTGCTTCTCATATATATCTCATTTTAATTGAAAGATACATTTAATTGAAAGATACATTTATACATACACACACACAAATGTAAAAACAAACCTTTGTTTTTAATATTTCAAATTTTCAATCAAAAGAGAAATGGGCTCCTGTAATTTTATGAAGAACAAATGGTAGGCCCAGATGGAGAAAAGTAAAAAAAAACCCAGATTCTGTTTCTGTGATTGTATTCTCTCACACATTGTTCTATCCACAGAAACAAGAAAAAATTAAGGTATACTTAAGGTTGTTGACAATGTTTGACAATTCAGTATTTGAGAATAGGACCGATCATTTATTTTTATATCTCTAATATCCTTGGAGGATGCTTATTTACAAGTGTACATTTACAATTTACACACCTCAGGTATTTCTGCTTACCCAAGGATTGGGGAAATGTAGTAAAAGGGACATAAATCTTTACTTTTAGCAAGAAAATGGAATAGATATTTGAGATCTATTCATGATATGAAACAATAATTGTTGCCCCAATTAATATAGATGCTAACTATTTGAAAAAACAAATATGATGTGATGAGTTAAAAAGAATAAACTGAATCTGACATTGGTTAAAATGCAAATCCAGATAATAGAAATGGATTGCAATAAACAAAAATGAAAAGATGGGTTATCAACAATAATTTGCAAAATATGTAGCAAAGATGCACATGAAACTAAATCAGAATACCAAAACAGACATGACTGAAAACACAACAGTGTTAACAAAAATGTAAAAGTGACACACAGATGTATTAAAAGTGGCTTTGATATTTAAAAAAACTGATTGGTATTATCTTTCCTCTACCTTTAAGATTATTAAGAACATTTATCTAGATGATAATGATATATAGTTCTAGTTATCAAAGATCAAAGATCAATCAAAATAAATCTAAGGCCACTAAAAAAAAAAAATTAATGGCTTTATCCATGTCAGGGCATATTAAATGTTATATGGCTAGCCCAAAATTCCTGCAATTAAACTTTTTAAGTAATGAAAGAATGTTTTTGGTCTTGAATGTACCATTTGTACATGTCACAAAGCAAGCAAGTTCAGGACAGTGTTTTTGTTTTTGTTTTGAACTGGAAGAGTTCAAATAAACCAATGCAATTTCCTACTTATGAAACTGTCTAAATTTATAACTTATGTACATTTAGCTGTCAGACTTCCCTCCTCACAGGACTGGAACTAGTTAATCCAAGGAATAAGAATCCAAGACTTCTGATCCCCTGCATTTATTGGAAAGAAGGTAAAGGTTGCAGAACAAGAATTCTAGCAAGTTCCCTGCATTCAAACGAGACACCTGCATACAGGCAATTAGGATGGCAGGATTCTTGTCCATTTCCTCTCTCAATTCCCTAGGAAGGCTGGATGCTTGTCTCCATGAAGGTGGGGCACCCTGCACCTCTTCACTGTTTTGCAACAGGGATTTCAGTCAGTACAAGATGAAACTCTCACACAAACTGGTCTGACTGGCAACAGTGGGTTTATTTCCACAAGGATGCACAGTTTATGCTGTATGTGCAACATCAAATGACAGCTTTCAAATATCCTTCATTCATGTGCAAAAAGCCACAGAGAGCGACTCCAGGTCTTTTTTTTTAGGAGAATGACATGGCAAGAAAGGCCAGACAGGCTCCAATTTGCCAGAGAATATGCAGCCACTGAAATCTTGCTTTTCCCCATTTTTTCATCAGAATTCATATTGTGGTCTCTGTTATCAGCAAGGAAAAATCCAGCAGGGAACTGCATTACATTAGGCAAGATCAGCGCCAGGGAAGATGAATCTAGATCCAGCTGGTTACAAGGCCTGCTTCCAACTCACCCCTTAGTTGTTGTATTTCTAAATGAATCTCCCCTTTTGTTTCTCCAATGTCCTTCCCTTGTGGGTCTTCCCTGTAAGTTTGAAAGTATGGCCCTATGCTCGCTTTCATTTAATGCCACTTGCTAGGACGTACTGAATTCTAAAAGGATATAACCCATTTGGAAAGACAGTATCGGTTTAACAAATGGGGCAAATGCTCATCACCAGCATAAGCTTGCTGATTTAGGGCCAGAGGTAAAGCTACCTCATGCTGGCTTAAAGCTTCACAGAATAAGGGAATTGGAAAAGGCTGATGCTTCAGTAAACACGTCCTGTTGTCATAATGATGTTGCGCAATATTGCACTGAGATTCGGATGATTAAGACAGTTCATAATAGGGGGCATCTCTATAGGTCTTATGCATTCTATCCTTTGTATCCAACCTCATAAAAAACATGACTACATTGAAACCAATCAGGATCTGTGACACTGCATCCCACCATTACTTGTCACAGTGAATTTCTCTTAAAAGATCAGCAAGTCCCAGTCTCCTGTCTTTATGGACCTTCAGCTGGTGTCCATGGCTGCATGTCAGACTAAGTACATTTCTTTCTGAACCCATCTCACATGGGTAGACGCCATGCTTCCTTTTTGTTCAACAAATCAGAACTTAAAACAATGATTTGTCATTGTCTTATTAAGGCAGCTTGCTGCTTCATATCATACGCAAGCCATAGTTTATTGCCAACTTCTTGTCCTCTTAGAGTTTGCCTACCAAGAAACTATGGACAGAGGCACAAGCGTTGAAAAGTGAACCCTTAAGGAGGCAGTATTCTTCCATATACTTTGCCAGTATTATATTTTCCAGTCTAACATGCCTGACAACAGGACTAAACCCCTTGCACCTACCTGAACACATGCAGTTCATTTGAAATGCAGAGGCACAGTGCAAGAAAAGGATATTAATGAAGACTAGCAAGTGAACATAAAAACCATGGAATTTCTTTCCACCCAATGCCGGTCTTTTTAAGAGTACTTGTGTTCAATCAAGGAAAGGGAGAACATAATAGCTAAGACATGTGCTAGTTCCTTGTTACTATGTGCTCTCTCTGGAAATACTGAAAGAGGGGGCACAATCCGATACCAACAGTATTGCACAAAAGTTTGGAGTACAATGCCAGGTCTTGGCAAGTTAATTTACTGCTGTCTCCCATGAGGCACTTGGTGGGGAGAGGAACGGCATTCAGATTGCTCCGCACAATGGAAGGAGAATAAATTAATAGAGATATATCACGTTCCTGTCCAAAAACTGAAACAATAACAGTACGTGTCAATTTTTGTATTTTTAATATAATCGGAAGCAACTTTCATAAGATCATTTAAAAATTTATTGCAATTATAGTTTGCCAGATGAATCACAGATGCCAAGATTATTAGCCCAACAGATACCATTTTATTAGAAATAGAACTTTGACTCTTATAAAGGCAGAGCATCTTTTTCTTTTGCAACGCCTTAATTAAAGGTATCCTAGTGTGCTCCTTGAGTATAAACAAATCCCATAGTCTTGGGGATGTTACAACTTTGACGGGACCCAATTTTATTCAAAATGAAAAACTTGTAGGTTTCAATAATTCTCCACAGTACAGACACTGAGTGACATTTGGCCAACTTTCTTCCATCTCTGAGTCAGCAGAAGTAGGAAGATCTCCTATGTAAAGGGAGTCCTGTCATCTTCCCAGCTCCACAGGAAGAAGGAGGCTGGTGTGTGCTCATAGTCTTGGGAGACCATACAGTGCAAAACCTAACACTGTCCCTTGCATCAACCTATGGGCAGTAGTGGACACTGTTATCTGGAGGCAGAGTGCTGGCTTGGGACACTTATAAGCCAGAGCATCAATCCAGTTCTCCCCAATCATTATTTCCCGCAAAAGGTAAATAGGAGCTCGGACGCTTATAGGATGGGGTTGGGGATTGAAGTCTATCCTTCTTTGCCCTGATCTACCTCCTGTTTCTTAAACTTACAGAAAATGCCTTACTGCAAACATTTCATTCAGAAGAGCACAAGAAGTTAGATGTGGCAGGAAAGCAGAGAACAATGAATATTAAACTGAAATTTATATCAGAACTGGAGTTAAAGTAGCAAAGTCTAAAGCCTGAGAAGTGGTCACTGATATATTTAATTAAAAATAGCTTGATATTGCCTTTCAGGGTGTTTTTCAAATGACAACCATGAAATAATAACAATCTAAAAAGCACAATTGACTAAAGCAGCCGAATAGGATATGACCTTCCTTTTTCATCTTCATTTCCCTACCCACCCACTGTGCTCTAAGTCACCACTGCCATTACAGAAGAATCCTATGTTTCTTATATATTAATTTTCACTCCTTGTCAGCTACCCTGGAGGCCTGTTGTCAGAAAGATACGAACATTTTAAATAAACAAAACAGACGCTGTCCCCTGCTAAGACATAATCAAGGAGGAGAGTGGAGGAGAAGAGGCATGAATGGGTAATGGAAAAGTCAGCCCTCTCAGTGATTTTCACACTGGTCAAAGCCATCAAAAAGCTTTAAATTGACACCTTTCTCCCTAGGATGCAGACATTTCCAATCACAGACAGATAAGCTGGTGGCTTCTTTCTTATGTCAAACTAATTTTCTAAAGTATTTATGCAAATAAGGATTTACTTCCAACCAACCTGGTTCAGAGAACCCAAGGCAAATTTGGACGAATTGACAGAAGAATCCCCCGCTCCTTCCTCAGCAGCAAATAAGCAAGTAACCGTGTAGACATTTGTTTCTTGTGTGCCACTATATAGAAAAACCAATATGTACTAAGGACAATATTTACCGCTTCCTTCGGATCTGAATGGAGGCCTCCCCCTGCATGTCCATGCCAACAGGTTCTTTTGTCTATCTGAGACCACCCTTGCAGATTCTGGGAGAAGAACACAGCAAAGAAGGATGTCAACCATTATACAGTCACAGTAAAACCCATTACAATCCTCTCCTAATTGAGTTTTGCTAAAGGCAAAACCATTTTTAGTTTTGGTAAAGGCTGAGGATGGACTGGTGAATAAAAGTTCAGGGAAATTACAGGAAACTGTGTCAGTAGAGTACAGAAGAAGCTCACTTACAACTGTTTTATACCCAAATTATTTATCTCAGAAAACCTTTTAAAAACTGCATAAAGCCTGGTTGGAGACTGTTCCGCGTAGTAAATACCCGGGTGTGTATATTCATAGAGAGGCTTAGAAACCAAATGCTACAACAATATCTAGTTTGAATTAGTGTAATTAAAGACATAATAAAAAAGTTAAAATATTTAAATACACTATGACTCAAATTCAGAAATGTTCTTTTCCTCAACAAGAGCAGAATTCCTCCAGAAGGTAAGAAATGCCTTGGACCTTATATGGGGAACGCTGGACTAGAACTTCTAGTCAACTGTGACAAAAACCTTGCTTCCTACCTTCTTGCAAATATCTTCATGTCAGAGCATGATGAATACTAGGCAGAGTCCAGTCCATGGGCTGCAAATAGCAGCAGAACCCACATGAAGCTGTTGTATGCATTTCTGCATGTGTGTGTGTGAACCAGATCTAAAGTGAGTCTTGGGTGAAAGAGCTTTTAAAGAGATATAGCAGAGTGCAGGTACCGGGTGATTAAACTGGCAGGTTTTTTGGGGAAAATGGAGTCAGTTGCAGCTTCTTGGCTCTTGCCATCTCTCACCTCACTCCCCATGGTTGTGTAATTGTCACACAGTTTACCACCTGAAGTCAAATGAACTAACAACAGATGATTTTCTTTATTTTTACCCAGAGCTCTTCTATTTTCAAGTAAAAAGAGAATGATGTATTCAGAATGTCATTTCGGAAAGTGCGTCTAGGCTTTAAAGAAAATGCTTGATATCTCTATTATAGCAGAATACCAAGAGCAATTTGGCAAACAACATAACATCATAAAGCACTTACAAAGAACTTAAAAAATGCTTGCAAGTACCATAAAGTGTGAGAAAGGATTAGTTCACAACCATTCTTCACAGAAAACATGGCTTTTTCTGTTTTGAAGAAGGGGAGCCAGGAAGTTACATAGAAAGAAGAAATATAAAAGAAAATAGTGTAATACTCTATTAATAAGCATTTGACCAGAAATCACAAATTACATGACATATTGTATGCATTATACATGGGTCAAGTTAGTGCTGTTGGTGTATTTTAAATATTTACTTGCCATTTACTTCTTAAATTTATATACCACCATAGTCTCCAAGGACTGTCAGCAACTAACAACATAATAAAAACCAAATAATATAATTAAAATGTCCACAGTAAAAAAATGAATGGAACAACAAACAAACAACACAGACCCCTAGCAATACCCAAGGGCTCTCCAGAAGACTCACATTATTAAAAACTACGCATATGTTTTGATATAAGAGGATTTTCCCAGCATTTTGTTAACAAGTTTTTTTTTGAAATGCAGTATATAAAATAAAATTAGGCATGGTAACCCCTTAGACTTCTATATTAAAAATAGGAAATATTAAACAGATTAAATTATGCTATAATTCTTTTAAAACTAAATAACAACAACAATATATTAAATTTATATCCACCCAAATCCCAACCTGTTCCTTATTGTCCTCAATCTGTTCAAAACTTCGTTTATAAGAACAGCTAGCCAGGATTATATTCACTTCCTTGACTTGAGATTTCCTCAAGTTGGAATATAAACTGATTTTGCCCAATTTTCTGTAACTTTTCGCCCTGTAGGACAGGCTTTTCTGAAAGATGCAATGGGAGGAAAGGTACAGGGAATTCTCTTTGTGCTACCGCAATTCTTTTTAAAAAGTCTCCTACACAGTTTAATTTGATTACTGTTAAGAGCAATGAGATAGGTACACTTAAAAAAAAAATGGTTTTTTTTATTGGCCGCTACAGCCCACACCTCCTGAGTTAATGCCCTGTATTTGGACCTCCCAGCTCTACAGGCAGAATATATATGTACCTTGTTTTGCATATCATGCTAGTCTAGGCTACAGCAAAGTGTGGTTCATTGTGTTGTGGGATCCAGCCTTTACCTTTATATGGTATGTGAGCAAACATTGTTAAATCAAAATAGGAATTATTCATTTGGGCAAAGCCTATTACATGAACACCGTCATTCTGTCTTGTTCACCTCAGAGTTAAGCATGCTGCGTGAATGTAGTGCATATGAGCGTTTGATCGGGAGCATCAGGAGGCTGCCAGTCTCTTTCGAGCAATCTCTGCTATGCAGGCTACTACTTTTACAAGGTTCCAGCTTCCCTTCCTATTCCTGAATGCTCTTTGGGTGCTTTCTACTTCTCCCAAAGTGGCTTCTTTCTTCCTGAAACTCAGCAGCAGATCAAAAGATCAATCAGATTACATAGATTCATTCCAGTTGAGATGTTTAAGAAACAAAATTAAAAATAAAGGAAGGAAAATTAAGCATTTGTACACTGGATCCACAACTAGGGGTATATTTGTGAATGCAGTGGAAAATTGTGCTTATTCCTTCCTGGTCTGAGAGCGTGAGCGTATAGGCACTCATTTGTTACTTTTAAGTGTGCAAGTTGCACATGACCAAAAGCAAGGAGGGAGGAACACAGTTGTGTAGTTTATTAAGGAAGATGAAGGAGCAGTTCTTTCTTTCCAAAGATAGAGGCGCTGCAGCTGATCTCTGGGAGATATGTCAACACCTTTTAAACCACGCTTCCCATTTCAGGCTGAAGAAGAAAATACTCAGCAGGCTGACTCGCTCCTTATTTTCAACACTTATGGTGTATCTGAGCTTTATTGTTTCCTAGAATGGAACTTTACGATAAAGAATGCTGACAAATGGTTATCCCTTAAAAACTGCAAGTGAAACAAACATTCGCAGCCAGATTTCATGGATGGCTTATTTCTTAAGCTTAGGTGCTTCTGAACACATCTCTGCCCAGCCCTGCTAATCACTGGGAAAATAGGAGGCTTATTTGAACGCTACCCATGGCTCATGAGATGCCGTTAATGAGGCTCTCTGCCCATTGTGCTGCCACTATTTTGGGCCTTGTTCTAAGGGATACACTCTGGGGTTTGGTAAACATCGACTGGTGCCCTGCCCATTTCGGGTGCATGGAAATGAGGCAGGGAGGCAGTCACTTGTGTTCAATTCCTAAAATGGGAAAAGCAGGAAGCCTGTTTTCTAAGCCCTTCTCCTGGACAGGGAAAGGCATGCCATGCGTGCTCAGAGATACTTCTACAAGCCAGGGTTCTGGTTGGTGAGTACAAATAATGATTTGCCACAAAGCCTGGATAAATCATCAGAGCCTGTTGAGCTCTGATAAAGGTCTGCACCTGAGCCTGGCTTTGGAAACCAGAACTGCGGTTAGTTCAAAATAAAAGCCTAGACCAGGGTTCCTCAACCTCAGCAACTTCAGGATGGGTGAACTTCAACTCCCATGAATGGCTGGCTGGGGAATTCTGGGAGTTGAAGTCCATCCATCTTAAAGTTGCTGAGGTTGAGGTACCCTGGCCTAGACTACTGACCCAAACTAGCAGAAACTCATTTCTGGAGGCTGCAATAAGTCCTGTGGATTCTGACATTTCTAAGAACAAGTGGAAAGCTTGTTGGCTTGGGATCAGTGCACCTGGCAACTCCCCACTCCACATATTTGGGTTATTCTCACAGACTTTTCCTTCAGCTGCTTGTCCTCAGAAGTGGGACCTGTACTAGGAACAAACTCTTTGTAGTTGCCCAACACTTGTTTTTATTCTTACAATAGCATGCACTTCCTTGGGACTTTACAAAAACAGTTCCCTGCCTAAGAAGAAATTTTTGCTTTTTTTACCTGAGCTCTCTGGAGCTACAAAGCAAAGTTATAAAGATTAAGAAAAGAGCAGGGTGTAAACTAGAGCCAAGCTTGGAGGTGGAGTGTCTGCAATTCTTTCTCTCTAGCAGGATTACAGGAAAGAAAAAGAAAATGTTGCTCCATACTACCTTTGCAGCATCTAATAGTTGCCTTGAATAGCATTTCCCTGAACTCTGCCATGTGGGTCGATTTAAAATTGGTAGAACCTGAAAAGAAGAAAAGCAAGGCTGTAATAATTAAAAGCACAATGCCCACAACTGGAAATTCTCCAGCCATTTCACAGAGACACATCCAATACAATGAAAGAGCATTTGCTTCTGAAAAGTAACAAAAGAAAATATGAAAACTGATGTGGAACATGTGTAAAATAATAGCATCAACTATTTAAAGCACTAAATGGCAATTTTCTGTATGTTCCCATAATATTTCTACTCACTCATATTCTTCTGAAAGCCACAAGACTTTCAAACTTAATATTCTTTTCTAAGTTGTCAAATGAATTAAACTTAGAGATAATTCTAATTTTTCAGTACATTTATACTATACTCTTATATAAGCTCAGATGCCTGAGTTCCAATTCTCAGTTAGATCTTTTGATTTAAAAATCAGAGTATTTCCTTCAAGGTGATGCCATTATGCTGTGGTAAAAGATTCCTAATCAGTTAAAAAAAAAAAAAAAGATAAACTGTCCACAGAAACTATGCAAAATAGAATGCGAGTCCCTTCATAATCAGAGCTGGAAAAATACCAAACATTTCAAGACTAAAAATCTGGCCATAAGCATAACTGGTTCTTCCAAACTGGCAATATTTTCAAGCTCTGTATTGTCTGCTAAATATTACTTATCTCCTCTGATCCTCTCATATATCACTTCCAAAGTGTCTTTTTTTACTCTGAAGAAACCCACACTATTTTATCTTGTACTCTAAGAGAAGATTAAAAAAAAATTACAAAGTAGGAAGTTGCACAATAAGTATGTAAGGGGATTTTCAGTTTTGAAACCTAAGCAAGACTAACACTACTCTTCCCTTTGTTCCCACTTGGCTCCTCTCTTGCCTTTAAATACATACATACATACATACATACATACATACATACATACATACATACATAAATGGGAAGACCAGCATATAAGCTTCAACCATCATCTTTATTTACTAGGAGGCTCTTGGATCCCACAGAGGCATTCTTGGAAAATAAAAGGGATGGATATTTCTGCAGCATAGCAAATCACACCTCTATCTTGTTAACAGTCAACAAAGCTAACTGGAGGCTTGTTAAAACTACCTTTCTGGCTGCTTTAGAGAACCCTGGCTCACCTACATTATTTACAGCTGCCATTCAATAACTTTTACAGGAAAGGTATGGCATGGAACTCATTCTGTTATCCATTAACACCCATAATTTCACATGGAAGAAATGTCAGTTGTTCAGCATGGACTGCTGAACATACCATAATTGGCTGGATTCACATAGCATGTTAAGTCATAAACCCTGGTTTATAAAACATGTTTGGTTTCATACAATACTTTAAAACTACATCAGACAAATCACATTAGTGTAGTGCAAAATGTGAATCCAGTCAGTGATTGCTACAGAAAAGTGTTTAAAAGCGGTGAGATTGTACATGAGTCATTTGAATATATAAGAATAATTGATCAAATATGTTAAAGCTCTATATAATCTTGGCTTCAAGTCTTTCAAAACATCAAATATTACATCTTTATAGTCATCTAGGAATTTGCTCATTGTACTTAAATTTAACCCCCTGAATTGTGGGTTTGTGTTTTGTCCATTATTTGACTTTATTATAACAAACAACAGAGCTCAGTCCAAATTATTTAAGCATGTAGATAACACCCATAAACAATGATACTGCCAACCATAATGAGAGAGCAAACATGCACATACAAATTGATATGTTTTATACCTTATCTCATTCTGCATCTGTAATATTAATGCAATTTTCACATCTTTTATTTATTATAGAATGTATAGCCTGCTATATTCATATAACCCTAGATAATTCTATGCATTAAGATTAATTTGATCTTTGCAAAATTAAATAGGATTTTATTAATGTGCGAGGATTGTATTACACAAATGCAGAAAGTGATACTCCTTTTCAGTTCACTACTTATTATGTTAC